TGAAATATCAATATGCAAATGAGATGACGTAAATTCAAGAATAGGCTACATTTTGCAGTGTAATTTACGACAAGTGTTCTTAAGTGAAATAAACTAAAAGTGTACAAAGCCATACATTTCAATCATAAGGATGATTTGCAAATGAAAAAACAGCAGTACTTTCCACCACAGCATTTTTGTATAATAAATTAGTCTTGAATTTACGCTATCTCATTTGCATATTGATATTTCCATAGTTAATGGAGAGAAATGGTTTGGAAACTCCATAGAACAAAGCTATTGTTTTGCGTTTGATGTTGAACCGTACCATCACGTGATACTGAGGGTGCACAATGAACCAAAGCAAGTATGGCTGAAAATACTCATTTCCTTATTATTTTCATGTATGAACATTTTGAAAGTGAAAACTTTCATTCGATGACCACAAACCATGCGGATAAATATTTCCGCGCGGATACAGTTAAGTTACTAGATGATAAATAAGAACAGCATGAAAAAAGGCAATTTCCTTTTCAATAAACAATTCGTATTAATCATATAGGATTAATTAACAAATAATAATTATTTTAGAACGTTTTTTAGGGTAAAAAACTTCTATATTCCCGAATACTATGAACAAACGGAGCAACTTTTCCTTCTCTTTGCACCGCGGTCAACGTCATATAACACTGGATAAAGTCGAACAAAAACATACAACAATGGGTTTCCCAACCATTCCGCTCCATTAACTATGTAAAAGTGTACTAATAAAGGGTAGAAAGCTTAGTACGCTTTTGACGGCACGGAAAATTTTGAATACGTATTAAAACGCATTAATTTTGCAGTGACATATCTTATTCTTTGGAGTGACAGAGCGTGGGTAGTTTTCATTCAACACTAGAAGGCATAACGATTAACTAATTGCTTAATACATTAACTAAGATCGATAATCAATAGCAATCTTCCCAAAGCCTTGTAAAGACGTCAAATCGATTCGATTTATTTTATTGCTTCTATCAGTTCTTAACCAAAAAAAACAACTTGTTTTGCTCGTACACACTGTGGGGTTTTGTCAGCGCAAAATTATCCTGTTTTTGTGTCATTTTAATGAAAAAATTTTTCTTCTTTTTTCTAATTTTACCGAGGTTTTCTAAAAACCAACTTTGAAAACTAAAGTTTGTCATTAAACTGAGCTTGAAAACAAATACTTCGAACTTCAACCACAGTTAAGTTCGTCATTAAACATGTTGAATTAAAACATAAAAACTTCGAACTTCAGCCCCAGCTCTTCCCTGCTAAATTCAAAACCCTCCCCGACTTTAATTTCAAAGCTTACACATATATGTCTTTCAATTACTTCTAATTCAAAGATTACTCCCAAATAATTAACGAATTTGTGAAGTCCTTAAAAAGCCTCCGATTCGGATTTGACGGTATTTCAACATGAGTCCTTGCAATTAGTGACTTTGTGTCGAACACTAATCAATCCGTTACGTCATAGTTAACTATTTTTACGTATATAACGCGGGGGGCGTCCTCTTGAGTGTCGTAATGGACGTCAATATGTCTTCATCCCTTGGTCATTCTTATCATCTCTTTATGTCAATAAAATTGGGTTAAAATCCAATACTGATATTTGCGGAGAAAAAGACTTAAAAATTCTATTACTATAGACGATGTTTTGGGGCTTCGGTGGTAGCTTGTTCTAGAACGATCGACGCTCTGGAATAAACTAGTGTTCAAAATTACGTTAAGCTAAAGCTCAAAAGTATCAAAGATATAGTATAGTGCTCAAGGACCGGCCGTAGCCACTACTTGGACAGTGGTTCGTTCGATTTTTTAAAAAGGTGTTTCAGTTTAATTTTTATTTTTATGTTAATGAAGTGGTGCAGTTAAAACCAGACCAACATTGAAAAAAATATCTGTAAAAAATCTATAAGTTAAAGTAAGAGATATAGATGTAAAATAAAAAATTAATTTAATTTAATTTAAAAAAGTCATATAACGAGAATAAACTTAAACCTGAAAATCCAAGAAAGAGAAAAGAAAAAAAACAACCCAGAGTAACCTGGTGCTGTAGATTTGATTATTAAGTTGTTGAGTATCGGATACAGTGAACTAATTAACATTTCTACCAAAATTCTCTAATCATACCAAATGACTGAAGCCTCAATCAAGGCTGAACTTGGACAAAAGATATTGAACCTGGCCTATTGAAGTTAGAAAATATTACTGAAAGAAAAATATAAAGAAAGAAAGGAAGAAAGGAAGGAAGAGAGAAAAAAGAAAGAAAGTGGAACAAACGAAAGTCATTAAAAAGGAAGTCAAAAAACCTACATTTGGAAGCTAGAAAGACAAAAATACGAAAGAGAAAAATAGATAAGATATAGAAAGAGAGAAAGAGAAAAGATATCTTCTTAAAACTATCTTAACAGTCCTACTGGACTACCGAAATACGTTAAACTTTTTGACGTTAAATATACGAATTTGATCAGGAAAATAGACAAAATTTGATCTAAAGAAGCTTATACGTGCCGGATTATAAGGATTTTTCTGGCACCCGTCATTCGACATCTGAAAAACAAATGCTTAAGATTCGTTTGCGTTAAGATTTAACTCTAATCTTGGTCTAAGTGGAATGAGAAGCATTAACTTGAGAATTTTATCACTTGAGCTTCTGTTCTTGAGCCCACTGTCATTTTGGTCTTCGGTGATAAACTAAGAACTCGGAAAAATGGTACAATCTAAGCTCTGTTTTCTAATTGGCTAAAATGACGACAATATAATAATAATAACAATGATGATGATGATGATTGTGATGATTATGATGATGATGGTGATAGTAATGATGATGATGATGATGATGATAAAAAGAATCAGAAGAAGACTATGAATGAAAAATGAAAATGCAGAAGCTCTGCGCATGATCAAGTCACGTCACCCGCCGGTCAAGTCCCCTGCAGGCTCAGGCAAATAGAGCTAGGAATTGATATTGTTTTAATATAGAGTTAAATCACTTCATACTTGAAAACACAAACCGTCTTTATATCCAACGTTGAAGAAATTGTTTTGATAAATTTACTTTTTCATAATATGACGTTTTAAAGATATTTCTTTGCAAGAAATTTTGATGTTTTCTTTATAGCGAGTGGGTCGTATAGTAATCGTAAAACCATCTTAGTACGGTATTCCTCGCACCAAGATAAGACAAAAGACACCATCTCCATACTTCCCTTAGGCGACAGCTTTGGCATTATTCTAAATTAACGTTGAAAGAGCTAAAATTTCAATGGAAAACCTCATTAGAAAACAAAGAAGAGTCTAAGAATGAATCAAGGAAATAAATGGTAAATTCAATACTGTCTGATAAATATAAATTTGGGAAGGATGTGGATTTGCGATTTAAAAACTTCAGTGCCAGAAAAGAGAAATTCCTAATCTTGGCAGATTAGTAAGAGAAGCACTTTGATCTAAATAATTTTTTTGTAATCTTAAGTAAATAAAGATTTGGTACAGTTACTCCATGCTGTCATAAACTGTACTTTAGCACCTAAGTCGAAATAAAACCTGTTCGGTCCGAAGTGTCGTT